ACATAATTTCCAATCGAAGCATGTGTGTTTATGTCCGCCAGATCAGAGGCAGTCAGGATGATCAGGGATAAGTGTGTGAATTTGACAATTTTTCTGTCCTGCTAAGCATTCAAAATGTAACAAGTACTTTTGGGTGTCAGGGAAAATGTATGTTGTAAAAAGTACAATTTTCTTTAGGAATGTAGTGAAGTAAAAGTAAAAGTAGTCAAAAATATAAATAGTATAGTAAAGTACAGATACCCCCAAAAACTACTTAAGTAGTACTTTAAAGTATTTTTACTTAAGTACTTTACACCACTGGTAGAGGGGCACATTATATGCACACAGACTGCACACCTCAACTATCAAAATGAGATAAGAAAACAGGTTAAATAGTAAACAAACACTTTTATAACATGAACAATAAAATATACCCAGACAGTGTTTATGATAGGCCTACAGTCTGTGTGTCTGGGGATCCATATGTATTGTGGAGGTAGTCTATGACAGCGGCGCTGCTTTGCAGGGAGTTGAACACCTTCCTCTCGGGCTGGGAGCAGACCCTCTCCAGCATGTAGATGAGATGCTGGTGGAAGCAAGTGAAAGAGGTCCCCTGGTCCGTGGCGAGGTCCACCCAGTCCCACACACACACAAGAGGGGTCTCATTGTAGCCAGCGAACATGGCCTGGTTGGACAACAGCCCCCGGGCTGCCATCACACCTACAGGACAGGGCATGTGAAGTGGGAGGGGAAGTGCCTTGAGTGAGCCATATAACTATAAAGATCCTGTATAGAGATATTCTATATGTTCTCTAATTATTTCTGTGCATGGATCCTCTAGCTAACCATTTATGTATTTACAATTCATATCTGTTAAGATGACACAATAAACAGAGAATGATTTCCCTAGAGGGAATGAGAGATTACAGACTAAATGCAGATGAAAAGCTGATAAAGTGTTAATGATAAGGAGGGCTATGAAGTTCTGTGAAAATCAACCATGACAGTGGCTCCCAGGAAACCCCCCATGTTGTAGTTTTTTTTCATAGAACATCACTTTGGCCTATATAAAGGTATTTAATTTGAAGCCATTTCAAGAGCATCTTTCCCAAGGAAAAAACTACATATGTGTAGTTACTAAGGGTCTGTCTCATATGACACCCTATTCCCATACAGAGTGCACTACTTTTGACCAGAGCCCTGTGTGACTGCCTTTTGAGTCTCTGGTCACAAGTAGTGCACAATATTGGGAATAAGGAATCAATTGCGATTTGCACTAATTGAACTGACCATTAACTCCAGTGAGCAGGTGAGTGGTCTCCACATCTCGGATGCTCTTTATGTCTCCGTTGGTGATGACAGGCTGGTGGCGCTCCTCTGCGGTCCGACCATGGACCGTTATCCTCTGGCTAGATTCCAATTGGAATTACACATGTGACCTGCAGGCCTGATTTTTCCTTTAAACCATGAGTTTCCAGCCACTATATTAGGGTTAAAACTAGGCCCTCAAAATAAGGCCTTATGAATTGTGTTGTACTGTCCTAAATAATTACATTTTAATGATATGATAACATATTCATTTAGGATCTCACTTGGTGAAGGCCACAGGACTGAAAATGGATGACTGCAACAACCATGCCTCTGTCACTAACAAATACAATCATGGGTGGTAACTCTACAATTCACTTGAAAGGCAAGGCACTCTGGGAAATATTCAAATAAGGCTTTACACTAAGCAGTGTGTTAATTTAACACTGAAAAGTGTGGACCTGTATAGACACTGGACCAGTATTACAGTTAACACTCTGTGTTGATTTAACACTGGAGAATTTGCAGTGTAAGATCTGATCACAATCAGATCACAATGCACCTTTTAATCGTCTAAACCTGTCTAAAAATAAGGGCACAATCAGAATGTGAACAAGATCAGGACAAGGGACACATGTTAGCACCAGGGGCTACAGTTCATCATGTCTGTGTGACTGTGTTGTGCCACAGGAGATGCCACTGTGCCAGTTTACCATAGCTGTTCTCTGCCTTTGGTGTGTGCTGCAGGAGCTTTCTTATTTCAGTTCTAATCCACTAGGTGGCAGTATTGCATACTGGTAGTAAATCCATCTCAGTCTAGAAAGTTACATTGTCAAAATTAATTGTGACATAATTAACTCAAAGATCATTATAGATATCAAATGCACATCCACTGGACCACTATACTGTGTTATAGTTCTACCATCAATGACTATCCACTATAGGTGCCATTTTTCTGTGTCTGCGTGCCTGAATGTGTATACGTTGTGTACGTATGTTTGAACGTTTTAGGGCTCTATTTAATCTGTGTCGCTGAAGTGTTACGATTGTGCGATAGAAATGTAATGGTAATTTCCGATTGAGCCGACATATGCAGCGTTTACCGTGAATGCAGTCTCTGCTAACGCAGGAAATTGTAATCACACTAACGCTGAATTTCTGCGATTCGGATTGAATAGAGCCCTTAATGTGCCAAAACCGCAGAACAAATCAAGTTTGTTCCTAAATTTAGTGAATACACATGTCTTTATATTACACAGGTGAATATTTCAATCACTGGGTTGGTGGGCCAAATATATGTTGATTTGGCAAGTGATACCAAGGAACATTTTTATTTGAATCGCTTTGTTTTGTGAAACAAATTAAATGAAATGGATGGCATTTCTCACTTGCTTAAAAAATCTGAATGTACAGTGAGGGAAAAAAGTATTTGATCCCCAGCTTTGTACGTTTGCCCACTGACAAAGAAATGATCAATCTATCATTTTAATGGTAGGTTTATTTGAACAGTGAGAGACAAAAATACAACAACAAAAATCCAGAAAAACGCATTTCAAAAATGTTATAAATTGATTTGCATTTTAATGAGGGAAATAAGTATTTGATCCCCTCTCAATCAGAAAGATTTCTGGCTCCCAGGTGTCTTTTATACAGGTAACGAGCTGAGATTAGGAGCACACTCTTAAAGGGAGTGCTCCTAATCTCAGATTCCAAACTCTCCACCATGGCCAAGACCAAAGAGCTCTCCAAGGATGTCAGGGACAAGATTGTAGACCTACACAAGGCTGGAATGGGCTACAAGACCATCGCCAAGCAGCTTGGTGAGAAGGTGACAACAGTTGGTGCGATTATTCGCAAATGGAAGAAACACAAAATAACTGTCAATCTCCCTCGGCCTGGGGCTCCATGCAAGATATCACCTCGTGGAGTTGCAACGATCATGAGAACGGTGAGGAATCAGCCCAGAACTACACGGGAGGATCTTGTCAATGATCTCAAGGCAGCTGGGACCATAGTCACCAAGAAAACAATTGGTAACACACTACGCCGTGAAGGACTGAAATCCTGCAGCGCCAGCAAGGTCCCCCTGCTCAAGAAAGCACATATACAGGGCCGTCTGAAGTTTGCCAATGAACATCTGAATAATTCAGAGGAGAACTGGGTGAAAGTGTTGTGGTCAGATGAGACCAAAATAAAGCTCTTTGGCATCAACTCAACTCGCCGTGTTTGGAGGAGGAGGAATGCTGCCTATGACCCCAAGAATACCATCCCCACCGTCAAACATGGAGGTGGAAACATTATGCTTTGGGGGTGTTTTTCTGCTAAGGGGACAGGACAACTTCACCGCATCAAAGGGACGATGGACGGGGCCATGTACCGTCAAACCTTGGGTGAGAACCTCCTTCCCTCAGCCAGGGCATTGAAAATGGGTTGTGGATGGGTATTCCAGCATGACAATGACCCAAAACACACGGCCAAGGCAACAAAGGAGTGGCTCAAGAAGAAGCACATTAAGGTCCTGGAGTGGCCTAGCCAGTCTCCAGACCTTAATCCCATAGAACATCTGTGGAGGGAGCTGAAGGTTTGAGTTGCCAAACGTCAGCCTCAAAACCTTAATGACTTGGAGAAGATCTGCAAAGAGGAGTGGAACAAAATCCCTCCTGAGATGTGTGCAAACCTGGTGGCCAACTACAAGAAACGTCTGACCTCTGTGATTGCCAACAAGGGTTTTGCCACCAAGTACTAAGTAATGTTTTGCAGAGGGGTCAAATACCTCATTAAAATGCAAATCAATTTATAACATTTTTTACATGCGTTTTTCTGGATTATTTTTTGTTATTCTGTCTCTCACTGTTCAAATAAACCTACCATTAAAATTATAGACTGATCATGTCTTTGTCAGTGGGCAAACGTACAAAATCAGCAGGGGTTAAAATACTTTTTTCCCTCTCTGTATATAGTTGTATTTATTCGATTAAACAAAGATATCTTGTAAATGTAATACAACAATTAAACATTTTTAATATGGGATAACATGTTGGTATGTGGAGACTTATTATTTTTTTTCACAGCACAAACAACTTTAATAGTGAGCAATACTGAAATATTGAAACACTTGCTTACTCAAAGCACATTTTTGTAGTTGGAATGAGAAACTATATCTACAGTGGTCTGAAAGGCACTTATTCTGTCAGGGAAGCTTCTGTCCCCTAGTATTGGAATTTAATGTACAATACATGGGGGAGAAAAATGTCTGGCCCTATAGGAGATAAGTGCTTAGGGCATGGGGGCTAGAGGAAGACTTGTTGGTCAATCCCACTCCAAGTGCTGACCCGGTCTACCCAACCAAACCCCTGGGCTGGGACAGTCATACTCTGGTTTTATTAGTCTATACAATCTTCACAGTTGTGTGACACACTACAGGGGGTCTGAGAGTGAGAAAAGGAAATATGAATCTCCACACACATTTCCGTTTCAGTTTCCTTATTACCAAAAAGAAAATCATGACCCAATATTGGATTTTCAATCTAGCCTGACCCTGTGTAATATCCACAAACCACTTAACATCTAAATACGTAGAATATCTTCAGAGGAATGAAAACAGATCACCATTGATATAAAATATTCAACAACAAAATCACTCAATATAACTTCTTTACCCCTATGAACTCAATGCTAATTTTGTTTAACAAAACACATACAACTGAATTTGTAAAAAAAATGATATGAATGTAACAGTGGTGCTCTTGCCATGTACAGGACAAAAACAGCATAGCAAGCCCATTACATCAAAAATACATTCACAGTAGAAGACCACTGTAATCTGAAGCTTGTACAGCCATGCATGCAGGCATTCATTCACAACTGTGCAATTCTCCAAAAGTCAGCAAATAATATAAACACTATTTCTAGGCTGGTGTAGTAGCTATTCTATTATAAACGTGCTCAGGTGCTTTTTATCTGAGTTTTGCCGGCTCAGTGAGGCTTTGGAGGAGTATTTTGGTGACATCATGCACAGGTGTTTTCAGTATTTCAAAGGAAGGCGATAGCGTGCGTGACTGTTTTTTCTGGTTTCTTGGTACGATCTGTAAACGTTCTGACCGCTGTAGTCATAAGAACTATCAATCATCCTTTTTGTGTCCACTCTCTTGAAGATTCTGGAAAAAATAAATAATATATACAGTATATCTGTGAAGTAAATGTATAGTAATACTAAAGTCAGAGCTGAAGTATTCTGTTTACAGTTGAGCAGGGTAGTAATACAGTGCATTCGGAAAAGTATTCAGACCCCTTGACTTTTTCCACATTTTGTTACGTTACAGCCTTATTCTAAAATGGATTAAATTGTTTTTTTCCCCTCATCAATCTACACACAATACCCCATAAGGACAAAGCAAAAACGGAAATATCACATTTACATAAGTATTCAGACCCTTTACTCAGTACTGTGTTGAGGCACCTTTTGGAGCGATTACCGCCCGAGTCTTCTTGGGTATGACGCTACAAGCTTAGCACTCCTGTATTTGGGGAGTTTCTCCCAATCTTCTCTGCAGATTCTCTCAAGCTCTGTCTTGGCTGTGTGCGTAGGGTCATTGTCCTGTTGGAAGGTTAACCTTCGCCCCAGTCTGAGGTCCTGAGCGCTCTGGAGCAGGTTTTCATTAAGGATCTCTCTGTACTTTACTCCGTTCATCTTTCCCTCGGTCCTGACTAGTCTCTCAGTCCCTGCTGCTGAAAAACATCCTCACAGCATGATGCTGCCACCACCATGCTTCACCGTAGGGATGGTGCCAGTTTCCTCCAGATGTGACGCTTGGCATTCAGGCCAAAGAGTTCAATATTGGTTTCATCAGACCAGAGAATCTTGTTTCTCAAGGTCTGAGAGTCCTTTAGGTTCCTTTTGGCAAACTCATAGCGGGCTGTCATGTGCCTTTTACTGAGGAGTGGCTTCCGTCTGGCCAGTCTACCATAAAGGCCTGATTGGTGGAGTGCTGCAGAGATGGTTGTCCTTCTGGAAGGTTCTCCCATCTCCACAGAGGAACTCTGGAGCTCTGTCAGAGTGACCATAGGGTTCTTGGTCACCTCCCTGAGCAAGGCCCTTCTCCCCCGATTGCTCAGTTTGGCCGGACGGCCAGCTCTAGGAAGAGTCTTGGTGGTTCCAAACTTCTTCCATTTAAGAATGATGGAGGCCACTGTGTTATTGGTGACCTTCAATGCTGCAGACATTTTTTGGTACCCCAGATCTGTGCCTCGACACAATCCTGTCTCTGAGCTCTATGGACAATTCCTTCGACCTCATGGCTTGGTTTTGCTCTGACATGCACCGTCAACTGTGGGACCTTATATAGACAGGTGTGTGCCTTTCCAAATAATGTCCAATCAATTGAATTTACCACAGGTGGACTCCAATCAAGTTGTAGAAACATCTCAAGGATGACCAATGGAAACAGGATGCACCTGAGCTCAATTTCGAGTCTCGTAGCAAAGCGTCTGAATACTTATTTACATAAGGTATCTGTTTTTTTATTTTTAATACATTTACTAAAATTTATAAAAACCTGATTTCGCTTTGTCATTATGGGGTATTGTATATAAATTGCTGAGGGGGAAAAAAATAATTTTATCAATTTTAGAATAAGGCTGTAATGTAACAAAATGTGGAAAAAGTGAAGGGGTCTGACTACGTTCCGAATGCACTGTATACAGTATCTAAGTGTTGACAGCTTTGAACAAGGCTGGGTGAGCAGTAATATGCAATTAAATATGTACAGTGCCTTCAGAAAGTATTCATCCCTCTTGATTTATTCCACATTTTGTTGTGTTACAGCCTGAATTTAAAATGGATGAAATAGATTTTCTTCTCACCCATCATTACACAATACCCCATACTGACAAAGTGAAAACGTTTTTTTTTTTTCATTTACATGAGTATTCACACCCCTGAGTCAATACGTTGTAGAAGCACCTTTGGTAGCGATTACAACTGTGAGTCTTTATGGGTAAATCTAAGAGCTTTCCACACCTGGATTGTGCAATATTTGCCCATTATGCTTTTCAAAACTCTTTAAGCTCTGTCAAATTGGTTGTTGATCATTGATGATTGTGATAGCGCCGGAGGGATTGGCTGCCGCTTTATGGACTCTTAACCAACCGTGCTATTTTGTGTGTTTTTTCGCATTGTTTGAAACTTATTTTGTACATATTGTTGCTGCTACCGTCTCTTATTACTGAAAAGAGCTTCTGGACATCAGAACTGCGATTACTCACCTTGAACTGGACAAAAAAAATTTACTTTATGAGTCGGACGAGAGGGATTTGCTCTAGACACCCGACAGGGCCCTCATCCCTGTCATTTGCAGTAGAAAGAAAAGGAGATATCGCGGAAGGAGATCGGAGTGCTTGGTAAGGAGCCGGCGACGAGTGGCTAACTTGGCCAACTTACAATCGCTTGATAATAAAATGGACGAACTACAGGCACAAATATCCTACCAACGGGACATTAAAAACTGTAATATCTTATGTTTCACCGAGTCGTGGCTGAACGATGACATGAATAACATACAGCTGGCGGGTTATACACTGTATCGGCAGGATAGAACAGCAGCCTCTGGTAAGACAAGGGGTGGTGGTCTATGTATATTTGTAAACAACAGTTGGTGCACGATATCTAAGGAAGTCTCAAGGTTGTGTTCGCCTGAGGTAGAGTATCTCATGATAAGCTGTAGACCACACTATCTATATTCTTCGTAGCTTCTACCACCACAAACCGATGCTGGCACTAAGACCGCACTCAATTAACTGTATACGGCCATAAGCAAACAGGAAAAGAGGCGGCGCTACTAGTGGCCGGGGACTTTGATGCAGGGAAATTAAATCAGTTTTACCTCATTTCTACCAGCATGTTAAATGTGCAACCAGAGGGGAAAAAAACATCTAGACCACCTTTACTCCACACACAGAAATGCGTACAAAGCTCTCCCTCGCCTTCCATTTGGAAAACCTGACCATAATTCTATCCTCCTGATTCCTGCTTACAAGCAAAAACTAAAGCAGGAAGCACCAGTAACTCGGTCAATAAAAAAGTGGTCAGATGAAGCAGATGCTAAGCTACTGGACTGTTTTGCTAGCACAGGCTGGAATATGTTCCGGGATTCTTCCGATGGCATTAAGGAGTACGCCACATCAGTCACTGGCTTCATCAATAAGTGCATCGATGACGTCGTCCCCACAGTGACTGTACGTACATACCCCAACCAGAAGCCGGCAACATCCGCACTGAGCTAAAGGGTAGAGCTTCCGCTTTCAAGGAGCGGCTCTAACCTGGAAGCTTATAAGAAATCCCGCTATGCCCTCCGACGAACCATCAACCAGGCAAAGTGTCAATACAGGACTAAGATCGAATCGTACTACAACGGCTCCGACGCTCGTCGGATGTGGCAGGGCTTGCAAACTATTACAGACTACAAAGGGAAGCACAGCCGCGAGCTGCCCAGTGACACAAGCCTACCAGACGAGCTAAATTACTTTTATGCTCGCTTCGAGGCAAGTAACACTGAAACATGCATGAGAGTATCAGCTGTTCCGGATGACTGTGTGATCACACTCTCCGTAGCCGATGTGAGTAAAAAAAGAGGACTGAGCACGCCCCCATTCTCATCGACGGGGCTGTAGTGGAACAGGTTGAGAGCTTCAAGTTCCTTGGTGTCCACATCACCAACGAACTATCATGGTCCAAACACACCAAGACAGTCGTGAAGAGGGCACGACAAAGCCTATTCCCCCTCAGGAGACTGAAAAGATTTGGCATGGGTCCTCAGATCCTCAAAAAAATTCTACAGCTGCACCATCGAGAGCATCCTGACTGGTTGCATCACCGCCTGGTATGGCAACTGCTTGGCCTCCGACCGCAAGGCACTACAGAGGGTAGTGCGTACGGCCCAGTACATCACTGGGGCCAAGCTTCCTACCATCCAGGACCTCTATACCAGGCGGTGTCAGAGGAAGGCCCTCAAAATTGTCAAAGACTCCAGTCACCCTAGTCATAGACTGTTCTCTCTGCTACCGCACGGCAAGCGGTACCGGAGTGCCAAGTCTAGGTCCAAAAGACTTCTCAACAGCTTCTACCCCCAAGCCATAAGACTCCTGAACAGCTAATCATGGCTACCCGGACTATTTGCACTGCCCCCCCACCCCATCCTTTTTACGCTGCTGCTACTCTGTTAATTATTTATGCATAGTCACTTTTAACTCTACCCACATGTACATATTACCTCAACTACCTCAACTAGCCGGTGCCCCCGCACATTGACTCTGCAACGGTACCCCCCTGTATATATAGCCTCCCTACTGTTATTTTATTTTACTTTACTTCTGCTCTTTTTTTTCCTCAACACTTTTTTTGTTGTTGTTTTATTTGTACTTTTTTTGTTAAAAATAAATGCACTGTTGGTTAAGGGCTGTAAGTAAGCATTTCACTGTAATGTCTGCACCTGTTGTATTCGGCGCATGTGGCAAATACAATTTGATTTGATTTGAGTAAGACCTTTAAACAGGTCAACATTCACAAGGCCGCAGGGCGTATACTCTGAGCATGCGCTGACCAACTGGCAAGTGTCTTCACTGACATTTTCAACCTCTCCCTGTCTGAGTCTGTAATATCAACATGTTTCAAGCAGACCACCATAGTCCCTGTGCCCAAGAACACTAAGGTAACCTGCCTAAATGACTACTGACCCGTAGCACTCACGTCTGTAGCCATGAAGTGCTTTGAAAGGCTGGTCATGGCTCACATCAACACCATTATCCCAGAAACCATAGACCTACTCCAATTTGCATATCACCCCAACAGATCCACAGATGATGCAATCTCTATTGTGCTCCACACTGCCCTTTCACACCTGGACAAAAGGAACACCTATGTGAGAATGCTATTCATTGACTACAGCTCAGCGTTCAACACCATAGTGCCCTCAAAGCTCATCACTAAGCTAAGGACCCTGGGACTAAACACCTCCCTCTGCAACTGGATCCTGGACTTCCACATCCGCCACGCTCATCCTCAACACGGGGGCCCCTCAGGGGTGCGTGCTCAGTCCCCTCCTGTACTCCCTGTTCACTCATGACTGTATGGCCAGGCACGACTCCAACACCATCACTAAGTTTGCCGATGACACAACAGTGGTAGGCCTGATCACCGACAACGACGAGACAGCCTATTGGGAGGAGGTCAGAGACCTGGCCGTGTGGTGCTAGGACAACAACCTCTCCCTCAAAGTGATCAAGACAAAGGAGATGATTGTGGACTACAGGAAAAAGAAGAGGACCGAGCATGCCCCCATTCTCATCGACGGAGCTGTAGTGGAGCTTGTTGAGAGCTTTAAGTTCCTTGGTGTCCACATCACCAACAAACTAACATGGTCCAAGCACACCAAGACAGTCGTGAAGAGGGCACAACAAAACCTATTCCCCCTAAGGAGACTGAAAAGATTTGGCATGGGTCCTCAGATCCTCAAAAGGTTATACAGCTGCACCATCGAGAGCATCCTGACTGGTTGCATCACCGCCTGGTATGGCAACTGCTCTGCCTCCGAAGGTAGTGCGTACGGCCCAGTACATCACTGGGGCCAAGCTTCCTGCCATCTAGGACATCTATACCGGGTGGTGTCAGAGGAAGGCCCTAAAAATTGTCAAAGACTCCAGCCACCCTAGTCATAGACTGTTCTCTCTGCTACCGCACGGTAAGCAGTACCTGAGCGCCAAGTCTAGGTCCAAGAGGCTTCTAAACAGCTTCTACCCCATAAGAGCCATACGACTCCTGAACATCTAATCAAATGGCTACCCAGACTATTTGCATCCCCCCTACCCCTCTTTTACACTGCTGCTACTCTCTGTTCATTATCTATGCATAGTCACTTCAATAACTCTACCTACATGTACATATTACCCCAATTACCTTGACTAAACGGTGTCCCCGCACATTGACTCGGTACCGGTACCCCCTGTATATAGCCTCGCTATTGTTATTTTTACTGCTGCTCTTTAATTATTTGTTACTTTTATATTGTATTATTATTATTTATATATATATATATATTTTTTTGGTATTCTTTCTTTAAACTGCATTGTTGGTTAAGGGCTTGTAAGTAAGCATTTCACTGTAAGGTCTACACCTGTTGTATTCGGCGCATGTGACAAAATTTGATTTGATTTGATTGAATTTGCTAGACAACCATTTCCAGGTCTTGCCATAGATTTTCAAGTAGATTTAAGTCAAAACTGTAACTCAGTCAGGAACATTCACTGCCTTCTTGGTAAGCAGCTCCAGTGTAGATTTGGCCTTTTGTTTTAGGTTATTGTCCTGCTGAAAGGTGAATTAATCTCCCAGTTGGTGGAAACAGACTGAACCCGGTTTTCCACTAAGATCTTTCCAGTGCTTAGCTCCATTCCGTTTATTTTTTATCCTGAAAAACTCCCCAGTCTTTAACAATTACAAACATACCCATAACATGATGCAGCCACCACAATGCTCGAACATCTGGAGAGTGGTACTCAATAATGTGTTGCATTGGATTTCCCCGAAACATGACTCTTTGCATTCAGGACAAAAAAGTTAATTGCTTTGCCACATTTTCTGCAACATTACTTTAGTGCCTTGTTGCAAACAGGAATCTTTTTTATTCTGAACAGGCTTCCTTATTTTCTCTGTCAATTAGGTTAATAACTAGAATGTTCATGATCCATCCTCGGTTCTCCTGTCACAGCCATTAAACTAAAACTATTTTGAAGTCACCATTGGCCTCATGGTGAAGTCCCTATGCAGTTTCCTTCCTCTCCGGGAACTGAGCTAGGAAGGACTCCTGTATGTTTATAATGACTGGGTGTATTGATACACCATCCAAAGTGTAATTAATAACTTCACCATGCTCAAAGGGACATTCAATGTCTGCTTTTTTATTTAATTTTTACCCATCTACCAATAGGTACCCTTTTTTGCAAAGCATTGGAAAACCTTCCTGGTCTTTGTGGTTGAATCTGTGTTTTAAATTCACTGCTCGACTGAGGGACCTTACAAATAATTGTATGTGTGAGGTACAGAGATGAGGTAGTCATGTTAAACACTATTATTGCACACAGAGTCCATGCAACTTATTATGTGACTTGTTAAGTAAATGTTCACCCCTGAACTTATTTAGGCTTACCATAACAAAGGGGTTGAATACTTATTGACTCAAGTACACATTTCAAAAAATATAATTCCACATCGACATTATGGGGTATTGCGTGTAGGCCATTGGCCAAAAATCTAAATGTAATCAATTTTTTATTCAGGCTGTAACACAACCAAATTTGGAAAAAGTCAAGGGGTGTGAATACTTTCTGAAGGCACTGTAGGCTAAGTGTAGATACTGTATGTATGATCAGCTCTGGGGTTACCTGGTGTTCTTTCAGCAGTCGGTCGTATTCTTTGGTCAGTCCATCGAATTGTTTCTTCATAGCTTCCATCTCGGATTGGGACTTTTTCAAGGCTAGGGAAAACATTAACACCAATGCTTTGCCATTATCATCCAATTCCCATGCATATCATCCAATCTATCGAAAAGGTGACATGCTATGGGTCAAAGTGCATATACTTGAACAGTAATTGAAGCCCATGTTTGTTTTATTGTCTGATTTCATTTGGTTGGTTATTGTATTGTAGTTGTACATTTTCACTTTATTTAAGTATTATTGGATTTTTGGTTCAATTATTCAGTCTGTCACAAAAGTATTGTGTGTGTCTTCCTCACCTTCCTTTGAGCCCTTCAGTTCTCCTCTCAGTTTCTCCATCTCTGACCTCAGCAGCTCGTTTCCCTCCGCTGTGGCCTTGTCCCCCTTCCCATCCATCAGAGTCTGAAACAAACACAGGTAAACATTAACAAACATGAACCACTTATCACACCTCTCAACCAAATGCAGTACCAAAATTAGTTTAGTTTATTTTAGAGTGGATGAAGGCCCAATATCTCTGAGTAGGAGTTCTGATATAGCATCAGTTTCGCCTTTTAAATAAAAATGAATACGTTTTCATGGACAAGGGGGGCCTTATGCTAGATCAGCGCTCTTCTTTTTGAGACCCTTTTAAATACGGGCTCAGGTGCAGAAAGGGCAGTGATACTGGGTATGACCTTACCTTCTTCAGTAGCTCGTTGTCCTCCATGTATTTCTTGGCAGTTTGGTTGGCACTCTCTGCCTTGGTCTGCAGAGAGGCCGTGGTGCCAGATTCCATCGCCAGCTGGTTGATCAGAGTGATCACCCGCCTCAGTACCCTGTAGGTAAACAACAACACACACAGAGATGGTGTTCAATACTGAGAATAACAGAGAGCTGGCCACCTGAACTTGTCCATCTCAACACATTTTTTGTTTTCCGTTGCTAAACATTTTGCTACGGTGTGCCCTACTGAACACGACCAGAGTGTTATGGTCATTGTAATGAATAAAGAAATCTCTATGATTATGACGATCCATGCACTGGCTGGTTTTTCACCAGTATCCATCCCAATGTGATGATGACACAGTGAGGATTCAGTATGTCAAATGGGTGAATGATGGACAGACAGATCCAGGACTTACAGCCAGAGGAATAGGGAAAAGCCGGAGATGTAGAGGTTCCTCTGGGCTCTGAACAGCTTCATGTTGAGGTTGTCAAACATGTTGGGATGCAGATTAGCGTCCTTGCTGTTTCCCGCCCCCGAATACTTCCTCACCTCGCGCACAGCGTCTACAGGAGGACAGGAGGGTGTGCAGGTGTGGTACGACATGGTTAAACATGGCAAAAGCATTGTATGAGATTGAGATTGTAAGATCTCAGGTGAGTGTCACTATTGTGAGTCATTATGATCTGTGAGTAGATTAAACATTTTGGCATCAGCTTACCGAAGAAGAGGACTATAAGGATTATGATCATGGCGAGGAAGAATTTATTCCAAAACCTGGCCATTTTGTTCCATATTCTCAGCTGGAAGATCCTCTGCCATCTGCAAAACAGCACAAAAACATAATGCTGAGACTCAGAACACTGCAAAAAACTAAATGTCTAATAAAATATCTGTGGATGCAGTTTAGGGCCCCCCCCCCCCAAAAAATAAAAAATGTAAACTGTTGACCGAAAGTCGTCTGTCCTTTCTGGCATTCGATTGGTTGACATTTTTAAACATGTATTTTTCTATATATATATATATATATATATATATATATATATATATATATATATATATATATATATATATATATATATATATATATATATATATATATATATATACACATATATATACAGTGGGGAGAACAAGTATTTGATACACTGCCGATTTTGCAGGTTTTCCTACTTACAAAGCATGTAGAGGTTTGTAATTTTTATCATAGGTACACTTCAACTGTGAGAGACGGAATCTAAAACAAAAATCCAGAAAATCACATTGTATGATTTTTAAGTAATTAATTTGCATTTTATTGCATGACATAAGTATTTGATACATCAGAAAAGCAGAACTTAATATTTGGTACAGAAACCTTTGTTTGCAATTACAGAGATCATACGTTTCCTGTAGGTCTTGACCAGGTTTGCACACACTGCAGCAGGGATTTTGGCCCACTCCTCCATACAGACCTTCTCCAGATCCTTCAGGTTTCGGGGCTGTCACTGGGCAATACGGACTTTCAGCTCCCTCCAAAGATTTTCTATTGGGTTCAGGTCTGGAGACTGGCTAGGCCACTCCAGGACCTTGAGATGCTTCTTACGGAGCCACTCCTTAGTTGCCCTGGCTGTGTGTTTCGGGTCGTTGTCATGCTGGAAGACCCAGCCACGACCCATCTTCAATGCTCTTACTGAGGGAAGGAGGTTGTCGGCCAAGATCTCGCAATACATGGCCCCATCCATCCTCTCCTCAATACGGTGCAGTCGTCCTGTCCCCTTTGCAGAAAAGCATCCCCAAAGAATGATGTTTCCACCTCCATGCTTCACGGTTGGGATGGTATTCTTGGGGTTGTACTCATCCTTCTTCTTCCTCCAAACACGGCGAGTGGAGTTTAGACCAAAAAGCTTTACTTTTGTCTCATCAGACCACATGACCTTCTCCCATTCCTCCTCTGGATCATCCAGATGGTCATTGGCAAACTTCAGACGGGCCTGGACATGTGCTGGCTTGAGCAGGGGGACCTTGCGTGATCTGCAGGATTTTAATCCATGACGGCGTAGTGTGTTACTAATGGTTTTCTTTGAGACTGTGGTCACAGCTCTCTTCAGGTCATTGACCAGGTCTGCCGTGTAGTTCTGGGCTGATCCCTCACCTTCCTCATGATCATTGATGCCCCACGAGGTGAGATCTTGCATGGAGTCCCAGACCGAGGGTGATTGACCGTCATCTTGAACTTCTTCCATTTTCTAATAATTGCGCCAACAGTTGTTAACTTCTCACCAAGCTGCTTGCCTATTGTCCTGTAGCCCATCCCAGCCTTGTGCAGGTCTACAATTGTATCCCTGATGTCCTTACACAGCTCTCTGGTCTTGGCCATTGTGGAGAGGTTGGAGTCTGTTTGATTGAGTGTGTGGACAGGTATCTTTTATACAGGTAACGAGTTCAAACAGGTGCAGTTAATACAGGTAATGAGTGGAGAACAGGAGGGCTTCTTAAAGAAAAACGAACAGGTCTGTGAGAGCCGGAATTCTTATTGGTTGGTAGGTGATCAAATACTTATGTCATGCAATAAAATGCAAATTAATTACTTAAAAATCATACAATGTGATTTTCTGGATTTTTGTTTTAGATTCCGTCTCTCACAGTTGAAGTTTACCTATGATAAAAATTACAGACCTCTACATGCTTTGTAAGTAGAAAAACCTGCAAAATCGGCAGTGTATCAAATACTTGTTCTCCCCACTGTATATATCTCACATACACACACACACAGTGAGGGAAATAAGTATTTGATCCCCTGCTGATTTTGTACGTTTGCCCACTGACAAAGACATGATCAGTCTATAATTTCAATGGTAGGTTTATTTGAACAGTGAGAGACAGAATCACAACAAGAAAATCCAGAAAAACACATGTCAAAAATGTTCTAAATTGATTTGCATTTTAATGAGGGAAATAAGTATTTGACCCCTCTGCAAAACATTACTTAGTACTTGGTGGCAAAACCCTTGTTGGCAATCACAGAGGTCAGACGTTTCTTGCAGTTGGCCACCAGGTTTGCACACATCTCAGGAGGGATTTTGTTCCACTCCTCTTTGCAGATCTTCTCCAAGTCATTAAGGTTTCGAGGCTGACATTTGGCAACTCGAACCTTCAGCTCCCTCCACAGATTTTCTATGGGATGAAGGTCTGGAGACTGGCTAGGCCACTCCAGGACCATAATGTGCTTCTTCTTGAGCCACTCCTTTGTTGCCTTGGCCGTGTGTTTTGGGTCATTGTCATGCTGGAATACCCATCCACGACCCATTTTCAATGCCCTGGCTGATGGAAGGAGGTTTTCACCCAAGATTTGACGGTACATGGCCCCGTCCATCGTCCCTTTGATGCTGTGAAGTTGTCCTGTCCCCTTAGCAGAAAAACACCCCCAAAGCATAATGTTTCCACCTCCATGTTTGACAGTGGGGATGGTGTTCTTGGGGTCATAGGCAGCATTCCTCCTCCTCCAAACACGGCGAGTTGAGTTGATGCCAAAGAGCTCCATTTTGGTCTCATCTGACCACAACACTTTTACCCAGTTCTCCTCTGAATCATTCAGATGTTCATTGGCAAACTTCAGACGGCCCTGTATATGTGCTTTCTTGAGCAGGGGGACCTTGCGGGTGCTGCAGGATTTCAGTCCTTCACGGCGTAGTGTGTTCCCAATTGTTTTCTTGGTGACTATGGTCCCAGCTGCCTTGAGATCATTGACAAGATCCTCCCGTGTAGTTCTGGGCTGATTCCTCACCGTTCTCATGATCATTGCAACTCCACGAGGTGAGATCTTGCATGGAGCCCCAGGCCAAGGGAGATTGACAGGTATTTTGTGTTTCTTCCATTTGCGAATAATCGCACCAACTGTTGTCACCTTCTCACCAAGCTGCTTGGCTTTGGTCTTGTAGCCCATTCCAGCCTTGTGTAGGTCTACAATCTTGTCCCTGACATCCTTGTAGAGCTCTTTGGTCTTGGCCATGGTGGAGAGTTTGGAATCTGATTGATTGATTGATTGCTTCTGTGGACAGGTGTCTTTTATACAGGTAACAAACTGAGATTAGGAGCACTCCCTTTAAGAGTGTGCTCCTAATCTCAGCTCGTTACCTGTATAAAAGACACCTGGGAGCCAGAAATCTTTCTGATTGAGAGGGGTATTTTGAGAGGGGGTCAAATACTTATTTCCCTCATTAAAATGCAAATGAATTTATAACATTTTTGACATGCGTTTTTCTGGATTTTTTTGTTGTTATTCTGTCTCTCACTGTTCAAATAAACCTACCATTACAATTATAGACTGATCATTTCTTTGTCAGTGGGCAAACTTACAAAATCAGCAGGGGATCAAATACTTGTTTCCCTCACTGTACACACACACACACACACACACACACACATATATAAAAAAACACACATACATACATACAGTTGAAGTCGGAGGTTTACATACACTTTAGCCAAATACATTTAAACTCAGTTTTTCACAATTGCTGACATTTAATCCTAGTAAAAATTCCCTGTCTTAGGTCAGTTAGGATCACCACTTTATTTTAAGAATGTGAAATGTCAGAATAATAGTAGAGAGAATGATTTATTTCAGCTTTAATTTATTTATTTCTTACATTCCAAGTGGGTCAGAAGTTTACATACACTGAATTAGTATTTGGTAGCATTGCCTTTAAATTGTTTAACTCGGGTCAAACATTTCAGGTAGCCTTCCACAAGTTTCCCACAATAAGTTGGGTAAATTTTGGCCCATTCCTCCTGACAGAGCTGGTGTAACTGAGTCAGGTTTGTAGGCCTCCTTGCTCACACACACTTTTTCAGTTCTGCCCACAAATTGTCTATAGGATTGAGGTCAGGGCTTTGTGATGGCCACTCCAATACCTTGACATTGTTGTCCTTAAACCATTTTGTCACAACTTTGGAAGTATGCTTGGGGTCATGACCCATTTGCGACTAAGGTTTAACTTCCTGACTGATGTCGTGAGATGTTGATTCAATATATCCACATAATTTTCCTTCCTCATGATTCCATCTATTTTGTGAAGTGCATCAGTCCCTCCTGCAGCAAAGCACCCCCACAGCATGATGCTGCCAACCCCGTGCTTCACGGTTGGGATGGTGTTCTTCGGCTTGCAAGCCCCCCCTTTTTCCCAAACATAACGATGGTCATTATGGCCAAACAGTTATATTTTTGTTTAATCAGACCAGAGGACATTTCTCCAAAAAGTACGATCTTTGTCCCCATGTGCAGTTGCAAACCGTAGTCTGGCTTTTTTATGGCGGTTTTGGAGCAGTGGCTTCTTCCTTGCTGGGCGGCCTTTCAGATTATGTCGATATAGGACTCGTTTTACTGTGGATATAGATTCTTTTGTACCTGTTTCCTCCAGCATCTTCACAAGGTCCTTTGCTGTTGTTCTGGGATTGTTTAGCACTTTTCGCACCAAAGTACGTTCATATCTAGGAGACAGAACACGTCTCCTTCCTGAGCGGTATGACGGCTGCGTGGTCCCATGGTGTTTATACTTGCGTACTATTGTTTGTACAGATGAACGTGGTACCTTCAGGCGTTTGGAAAATGCTCCCTAGGATGATCCAGACTTGTGGAGGTCTACCATTTTCTTTGAGGTCTTGGCTGATTTCTTTTGATTTTCCCATGATGCCAAGCAAAGAGGCACTGAGTTTGAAGGTAGGCCTTGAAATACATCCACAGGTACACCTCCAATTGACTCAAATTATGTGAATTAGCCTATCAGAAGCTTCTAAAGCCATGACATCTTTTTCTGGAATTTTCCAAGCTGTTTAAAGGC